TATTGTGGGTTGAAAACCCTATATGCTCACCAGGCTCCCAAGCCTGACCCACTCAGTTTTATTTGTATTACAGGAAGTGGCGCAATGGCGTAAGATGGATGAACCATCAAGTTGTTTTGTTTACAAGTCTGTATATGTAAATATTTGTTGAATGACTTGTAATATTATCGTTTATGCTTATTGGTCTATATCGGAACATGACACCCCAAGTTTTGATTATATAATGAAAAATAAATTTCTTTTATGAAATGTTTTGGTAAACATTGTTTTATCATGTTTTGTTTTTGGGAACAAATTCTGCAACTCTTTCAAATCAAAAGGATTTACTCTGAATTTATTTTAAAAGCATAAATGAAAATCGGTCTTTTCTGGCCGAGATTTTGGGGATGTCACATATATATATATATATATATATATATATATATATATATATATATATATATATATATATATATATATATATATATATATATATCATCAAAATTCAACCTACTTCCTCATTCTTTTAGATATCATTTTCTCTCAAATGTTTTCTTCCACTTTAAGTCAGACTTTTCTAGACTTCATTTTATTTTAGTGAGGCTATGGATTATCTAGGATCTCGAAGAAAAGAAGATTTTGGATCGTAGTTTTACCAGTGCAATTTTCCGACTTTTGATAGAAATTTTAAATAATTTAAGCTGCACTTACTATGCTTCAAGTGTAACTTATATTTATTATCACGTCTAGGCTAGGTTTAGTGAGGTGTTTAATGTAGGATTTCCAAACAGTATACTATGTATACCAAGCAGACCCTACCACTGATATGATCTTACATAGTTGTTCCTTATTTGATAGATGTTGATGTAGACATCCAGATTAATGAGGAATCTATAGTATCATTATTATAGTAGTGATAGATATAAAACTAAGATTTAGTGATATTAATATCTAGGTCTTCTGAAAGGAAAAGATTAGGTGTTAGGCAAAGTGCTGCCCTAATCGCATCTCATCCACTTTAAACAAATAGGTGCATAGTTACTTTCATCTTACATGTATATGCAAAATATTTAGATAATTAAATGTTATCTGTGTTTATTATCTTTGTTCTTGACATCTGTGTTAGATGCAATAAATGACATGATTTACTTGATTAAATCGTATATGTATTTTACCTTATTTATAAAATATTGGGTAGAAAAGGGTTGAGAAAGAGATAATGTAATGGTGAGAGGCCTTGCCATAGATAAAATAATGGTTAGAAACCATGGCCAACATTGTATATTGTCCTACTAAGAGCACTCATGTAGCACAATATCGGTGACAAGCACAAACTCTTCTAGACTGTCTTGTGGAACAATAGAAGACTCACAATCTGTAGATATTAATGAATCATACTATCTGGGAGTCTAACATCCCGAGTCTCAGGTATGATATTTATTTCTTTAAAGATGAATTATTCTTTGGAACTCGACGAGTTGATGGACTTAGACTCGACGTATTGGAAGCCCTCTGCTCGACAGGTCATTTAAAAAAACTCGATGAGTTGACGGCTGTTAATGAAAGCCTAATTTCCAGGGTTTTGCACTCTATTTGAAGAACTTATGACTCATTTGTGGCCTCCCTCATCGTCCCCTCAGTCCAGAGAAAACCCTAATTGTCCCTCTTTCCCCATTTTGAGTGTGCGAGAGTTTTTAGAGTTTTCTTTGGTGTATTTCTTGAAGGAGCTTGAGGTTGATGGCGCAAGGTTGAAGGGAGAAGCTCTAGATCCAATATTTTTAGTGTTGTTGCAGCTACTTGGAGGTATAAAGTCGTTATGTCTATCATCCTTTTATTAGATGTCTTCTCTTGAAAGTTTATGGCCATTATTAGTTTATTTTGGGGTCAATCTTGGATTTAAGAATGTCATGAAGCTAAAACTTTAGATCTAGACATCTCACGGCATTCATAGACTTAAAGTTGCCAACTTTATCAAGTCTTGGCCCTCCTTCATGCCCTATGTACCTTTATAAGCCTTATTTAAGTGTTTTAGCCCCTTTGATGCCATGCATGGATGTAAACTTAGCAAACTTTACGTGGTATCTAAGTCCTAGGGGACCAAATCTGTAGCTTGGAGCATTAGACTTGCATGGAAGAGGCTGAATGCATAAAAGCTAGGAAAAACTCGATGAGTTTCTCCGCCAACTTGACAAGTTGGTGAGGGTTTTTCTGCTTTCTGGATACTGATGAACTAGACGAGTTGCTCTGCTAACTCAACGAGTTGGATCGTGTTTTCCCGTATTTTGGATGATGAGCGAACTCGACGAGTTAGCTAGGGTTTCTCCCAGTTTTCTGAACATTGAAGGAACTCGACGAGTTAGGTCAACATGGACTACTAACCTTGACTGTTGACTGTTGACTTTGACTATGGTTGACCAAGTTTGACCTTGACGGTATTTTGGGGAATTTGGGATATTTATGGAGTTAGTTACATGGTGATTGTAGCTCGGAGTTGTGATTCGAGAGTTGGATCTTATCAGACAATGATACTTGTGAGGTGAGTTTCCTCACTATACTGATAGGATCGAAAGCACCAAGGCTGACTCTTTTTGGATTGTTATCCAGGTTATTTCATGGTGCTATGTTTAGTGATTTGCTAGATCTATATCCTGGTATAAAGGATGGTGCTATGGTTGGTGATCTGTTAGATCTGTATCTTGGTATATAGGATGATGCTATAATTAGTGATTTGTTAGATCTATATGACTGTTTGTATATGCTAGCTAGCGTTTGATATCTATGTGTTGATTGTGTGATTGCGGGTGGGTTGAGGCGGTCTGCTTTGTGCTCTAGGCCAACAAACCCAAAGCGGCCCAAAAAGACAGAAGGCCCATCGGGGCGTAACGGTCTAGACAAGCTGAAGGTTCGACGAGGCGGTCCAGACATGCTGAAGGTTCTGAGAGTGGGCCAGATAGACTGGAGGCCTAGTGAGGTGGTCCAGTCATACTGAAGACTCCATATGCATACTTTTTTTGTGATATTGTTCTATTATATGGCATTGGTATTTTGGGGGAAACTCACTAAGCTTCGAGCTTACAGTTTGGTTTATGGTTTTAGGTACTATAGAGGATCGTAGAAAGGCGAAGGCTTGATTGTGCACCTCCTCATATTTTGTGTTATGATTTCTGGGAATTACTCTGATGACAAACTTTTTTGAAAACAATTTGTAATAAATGTGTTTTAGGATGTTTGAAAAAGTTTAAATTTTTATGAATTTTATGGATGTTACAGGGAGGATGGATTGTGTGTTCATTTGAGTACTATATCCCTGTCATGGTTGCGTTATTGGCATATATTGCTACGGAACCCTTGAAGTATTATTTCCTACTCGTTACTTATAATGATCATTTACGATAGATTTCTTAAGATCATCATTTTTAGGATCGAAGAGTGAGAATAATGGGAATAGGTAATCGGATTAAATTGATTGTTATATATATATATATATATATATATATAATAATAATAATAATAATAATAATAATAATAATAATATTGTGGGTTGAAAAACATATGTATTCACCAAACTTTTCAGCCCGACCCAATTAGTTTCTTTGTATCATATGTAGTGATACGAAGCCATTAGTATAATAACTTATTATGAGGCCTATAAATACCAGTTATGCTAATGTATTATGTATCAGATATGAAACCCAAGGTTTTTAAGTACTAATGAAATTTTTTTCTTTGAAAATATTTTAAAATTAGTATTATCTCACATAAAAATAATATGTTAGGACAAATTCCATATTAATGGAATCTTTTTAAAGAATATTGTGTTTTAAATAAGCATAAATAATTATTTTTTAATTGGCTGTAGAATTGGGGATGTCACAATAGGAATGAATATGCACATATCCCAATGTCAAAATGCATGGTCGGAAACTGGTTTATTTTGATCGTTTGTATTGTATCTTTTTACAGGACAATATCTTACCATGTTTAAGGATTTTTTTTTCCGTGTAGAAAAGTTATGTCGGTTTGAATTGTATCTTAGGTATGTCTTTGTACTTTGTTTTTGATAAACTAGTTGAAAGTATTTGTGGCTTTAATTGGTTTGCTGGATACCTGTTCAGAATTCGGTAAAGATGGTGAGATTTGTATATGATAGCTTGTCGGATTGAAAGTCAAATAATTTAGAAGGCCAAGCTTCGGAAATAGGTTAATTTGACTCTTTGGAACCAGATAAATTGGCTTGTTCTTTGTTGGGTATTGAATCAGGTGGTCTGAACTTCTAAATTGTAGTTAATTCAATTGTTTTTTTCGAGATGTGTATTGTACATTTTTTTCTTTTTTTATTTGCCAGAGATTCATGTATTAAATGAAGTGAAAATTCGGATAATAATAAAAAACAATAGGTGGTTTGAAGAAAATAACCAAGGAAAACACATTTCACAAAATGACCACAGGATCCGCAGAGCACCCTCTACGGATCTATTAAGCCCTCTGCGGAATTGCTACACCTTTGCGGAATGTTTTTTTTTTTTTTTTTTTTTTTTTTTTTTTGCGTTAATTTTAGTTTATTAATATTAATTTTTAAAATACACTAATACATTATGTGATTATTATGTAAAAAAAAATGACAAAAAAAGGTTTATTTTTCGTTTTTTTTTATTTATTTATTTTTTTGCGTTAATTTTAGTTTATTAATATTAATTTCTTTTTAAAATACACTAATACAAACCAAATACATATAAATAACGTAATACAAACCGGTGCATATAAATAACCTAATTAAAATTATACAAATATTCCATGTTTTTTATAGGTTACAAAACATACATTAAAAAACATAAACATACAACCCTCATAATAAACATATTTTGAAATAAACTTCATTCATTCAAATCAAACCACGGAAACTTTGATCTGTTTTCGTATTTCGTCCATAGGTTATCTGTTGCTTGTGTCCTTAGGTTTACTATCTCTTGCGTCCATTGGTTATCTGGCTCTTGCTACCTTTGGTACTCGGTGCAACCCTGCTATTGGTTCTGTGGCTCTTCCTGCGATTTGTATTCGGTCTCTTGCCCCCATTGGTTATGTAGCTCCTGTTGCCATTGATGTTCAGTCGGTTGTGTCCATTGGCTGTCTGGAGGCTGCTGCCATTGATGTTCAGTCTGTTGTGTCCATTGGTTGTCTGGCTGCTGCTGCCATTGTTGTTCGGTATGTTGTGTCCATTGGTTCTCTCGCTCATGCTGCCATTGGTTTCGGTCGCTTGTGTCTGTTCCTCTTATGTCACTTTTGTCCCACTCCCTGAAGCCCCAATAATTTTTTTAGTTTTACTTTGGTTCTTTGGAACGATTTCCTTACACGTCCTTGCATTATGAGTTGTGTTATGGCATCTAGTAAACCTTCTTATTTTTGGTTCCTCACCTTGAGATGGAATACGATTGGTGTTTTTTGGTCTACCAGCTTGATGTATTTCCATCACAGGAGGGTTAACAATCATAAGCTCATCCGGAGCCTCCCAATCACTAAGTTCTAAAAGAGGGTATACGGCTTGCTCGTACGCTCTTCGATATGTTTCAATTTTATAAGCATCTATAGCCATATGGGCACAGTGATCATTTTTCAAGTGCGTTAAAACCATTATCACATGACCACATGGCAAACCAGTTAGTTGCCAATATCTGCAAGAATAAGTATTTTCCCTCAAATTCACTATGCCGCTGCTTTTGAAGTCATGCACTTGATATGTTGTATTGTCAACACCGGATACCGACCATCCTTGAATCCTCTCTTTTTTGGTGTTATAGGTTTGATTGACAATTAATTTATCATTCGGACCTAAACTGTGAAATGGTCCAGGTTCAAGAATAGGTTCTGGAAAATAAGGAATAGAAGGAATACAATACCATGGATTAAAAGCAATTTTTCGTTGCGTGTACTCATCATCTAACCACCCTTCATTTGATTTTTCCTCACATCTTCGATCATCAATTTCAGGAACTTCTCCAAACTCGAACAAATTTTCACATTGTAATTCAGTCATGCCCACTTTTGGTTCTTTAACCACTGCTTATTCTTCATCTTCTTCACCTACCACCGTTAAATACAAATGCACCGTCTTCTTTGATTCAGACATTACATGTCTCAATTGAAATACATTAGTTTCATCTCCAAGCTCCATGACATACCCTAACTCCGGGTGTTTAAAAGACAAACATATATGACTATTTAATACACTCACCTTACTTATAACCATTTGTAATAACATTTCATGGTCAATGTTAGGAGGAAGATTTAAACCATAGTTTTTCACATTATTTCTAGCATAAACCTCAACTCCATTAACTAACTGCCATGACCCTCCCGTACACAAAATAATAAAACTCATTTTAGAAATCACTCTCTACAAACACAACGAAAAAACAACTTTTACTAGTAATTGAAACTCACAAACTCACCAATAACCACTTAAATATGTTTATAACTTCTATAACTGATCCGAAGAGGTGTACACTTATCCTTAGAGGTATGCACTGATCCGCAGAGGTGTACACTGATCCATAGAGATGTGCACAGATTCGCAGAGCTGTACACTGATCCTTAGAGGTGTGTACTGCTCCGCAGAGGTGTACACGGATTCTTATATATATATATATATATATATATATATATATATATATATATATATATAAGACATTTCATTTTTAGATTATTTACAAAACCAGTTGAGTTAAGTTTTACTTTCTTCCGTAGAGCATAAAATACAAGACAATACAATATGAAAAACATACATTAGTAGCAAACGTATTACATAAAACATTTCAGTCTTTTAAACCTTTTTTATCAATTTTTTTACACAATAATCACATAAAGTATAAGTGTATTTAAAAAAAATATTAATAAATGAAAATGGATGCAAAAAAAACAATTTTTTTTTTAATTAAAAAACCAACATTCCGTAGAGCTGTAACTGGATCAGCAGAGGTTTTAATGGATCCGCAGAGGCTTTAATGGATCCGCAGATGGTGGATTCCCGAAGAGTTATGTGGACTGATATCAAACATAAGTTTATTATTTTTAACTTTTTTTGTTAAATTGTTTACATAATCACAAAGGTATTAATGTATTTAAAAAAAATCATATTAATAAACGAAAATGAACTAAAAAACGAAAAAAAAAAAAAAAAAAATCAATAAACAACAATTCCGTAGAGCTGTAGAGGATCCGTAGAACATTTAATTATTCCGTAGAGGGTGCTCTGCGGAACTTGTGATCATTTTCCAAAATTTGATTTTCCTTTGTTATTTTCTTCAAACCAATCTTCTTTTTTTATTATTATCCGAATTTTCTCTTAAAAGAAATTTTTGTAGCTGCCAAGTGAATAATGTAAAATAATTTAAAGTTGCCAACAATTTCTTCCACATTTCTAATCTAATTAATTTACAACAGTTATTTCATGAAGTGGTTTGCTGCTAAGAACACATGTATTAAAATCTTACTATTTGTGTTACTTTTTCGTGTATTTCAATCTTAGGCAGAATGGAACATATTAAAATCTATACATAAAAAAATAAATGTGGCAGTGTATGTTTGAAGACAACATTATTTTTTTAATGTCTGTGCAACACATCTTACAATACGTAAAATCTTTGTTTCCAATGTGCGACGATCTCATTTTGTGAGATCGTGAGACGCATTTTTTTATTTTTTTTATTTTTTTAGTTAATTCAAGTTCCGAAAATAATATTTAAAAAAAGAATTTTTTGATTTTTGCATTTATTTTGCATTTTAAAATTATTTTTAGAATATGTACAGTGTAATATTCTATTTAGAATATTTCACGTATTTTTCAAAAAAAAAATAGGATTTTTTTTTTAATTTTTTCTAGTTAATTCAAGTTCCGAAAATAATATTTAAAAAAGGAATTCTTAGATTTTTCTATTTATTTTTCATTTTAAAATTATTTTTTAAAATATGTCAGTGTAATATTCTATTTAAATATTTCACGTATTTTAAAAAAAAAATGGGATCCTTTTTTTATTTTATTTTTATTTTTCTATTTTTTTTAGTTAATTCAAGTTCCGAAAATAATATTTAAAAAAAGAATTTTTGGATCTTTCCATTTATTTTGCATTTTAAAATTATTTTTAGATTTGGTCTCACGATCTCAGAAAATTAAAATGGTCTCAAATGAACCTGAACATATATATATATATATATATATATATATATATATATATATATATATATATATATATATATATATATATACATAAAGAGAGAGAGAGAGAGAGGGAGAGAGACAGAGGAGGGTTCAATTGAGAAAAAAAAGTTGAGAATGAGGGAATCATTCTCAGCCAATCATTTATTTTTACTGTAAAAACTTCGAACGTACCGGCGGAAATGGGAAAGAAATGCACATGTGTTTCCCAACAAAACATGTTTCCTTAAACTATGCTAAACATTACCTTAATATATACAAAAACATAGTTTTTTTGTTTTTTTTTAATTTGTAATAAGTTATTTTTATCGAAAAATGATTTTAAATATACCAAAATTCTTGATTTTTTATTCTCTACAAATAGACATCCATATTGATATAATTTTAAGATAAAATAAAAAAAATATATTTTTTTATTTTTAGTTATCGTTATTCATAAGTGAATAAAAATTAATCTGGTTTTTAGTACAGCATATTCGTTATTCACTAATAAATAAAAACAATGATTAATTTTGTTTACAATTTAAGTATCATTCATATATGAATATAGCATATACTAAACATAATATATTTCTATTTAAATATTAGACGATGCATTCACTTGTGAATATTACATAGTATATTCACTTGTGAATGTTTGATGATATATTCACTTATGAATATTATATGATATTTTCATATGTGAATATTATATAATATTACAAGGTATATCACATTTGAATAGTACATAATATATTCACTTGTGAATATTAGATCGTATATTCACTTATGAATAATAGTTGGTATATTCATATGTGAATATTGCACAGTATATTCATATATGAATATTGCACAGTATATTCATATATGAATATTACAATGTGTTTTTAGAAATATATATAATTTTTATATGTTATTCACATATGAATAACATACAGACTTGCATATTTGTTTTGTGTTTTAATAATCACATATTGTTTCAGGTGAGAAAACATATTCATATGTGAATATTACGTGGTAATTTAGTTTATGCATTTCATCAAACAGTTGGAGTGCATACAAGTTAACTTTTTAAAAAATGTGATAAATATGATACTTTGACTACTTAAATCTTACAAAATAGTAGATTGGTATATAAATATATGAAAATTTCAAACAAAAAATGATTTGATCTTTTTCTAACCTTAATTTCGATGTTTTATTTGATAAATGATGTTGAATGAATGATACGAATTGAATTTTTTGTTGATTATCGATGATGTTGTTCTAATGATGCTGAGAGTATAATTAATCGTAGATGTTAAAGATATGTTTGTATTCAAACAGAATTGAAGGTTGGATTGAAAGAGTAAAAAATGAATGAATTTCAACTGTTTGTATTTTTGATTGAAGGCTATTATATGATATTTACAAGTTTGCCACCGTGTCCTTTATGTTTAGAGGTTAATTAAATGAGTGGCTGAGAATGATTCCCTCATTCTCAATCTTTTTTATTTTCTCAATTGAACCCACCTCTCTCTCTCTCTCTCTCTCTGTCTCTCTCTCTCTCTCTCTCTATATATATATATATATATATATATATATATATATATATATATATATATATATATATATATATATATATAGATTTCCTTAATAATTATTTTTTCTATATTTTAGTGAAAATAGTATTAATAATCTTTAATATATATAAATAAGATTCACACATCAAATAAACTATATTATTTGCTTTCAAAAATCTATATCTTAGAGTTAGAATATGTATTTTGTCCCCCAACTTTGCCATGATGACACTTTTAACCCCAAAACAATTTTCCTTCCAAATGGCAGTTTTAAAACTTGTCACTTTCAGCCTTTTACCTTCAATAATCATTATTTATTATTATTATTATTATTATTATTATTATTATTATTATTATTTAATTCCTTAAAATTTATCGAATGTCTTTTATCCGTTCTATGAACCGATATAATTTCTCAAAGTTTTACTCCTTTGTTAATAACAACCAAACGGAAAATAGAGTATTACACATAAGCCATTTCTATACATTCAATATACTATAGGGATAGAGAAATACATAGAGTTGAACATAATAAAGTACAAGAACTGTATTTTCATTTGAACCCTATGTAGATAAAAGGGCAACTTGATCCAATTTCATCTCCATTGAATATGAATATCATAATAACGGATATATTAATGAATCAATGGGTTAGGTCCACTTATTTTTATTTGATTGATCTATAATCTTTAAGATGGATTTCATTGGCTTGATTAAAAATTGGAAGATTTGATGATTTAACAGATGACTTATCATTATTCATGAAAAGTATAACTAATATACTCTAATAATTAGTATACTATAACTCATTAGACGATAATATTATATAGTTGGTTACTTTTTTTTATTACTATTAATAATATCAGTATTTTTCTTTCAAATATGAATACTACGATTGCAAAAAATACAAAGCCCTTTGTCAGATTTGAACCGAGGGCTTATGCCTTACCATGTCCTTCTCTACCACTGAGTTAAAAGAAAAGAACTTGGCTCATGGAATTCTTAAACATGTCACTTTACTATGTTGGTAGAATGCATCTATATAACAAGATATATACCTACTTATATAAGTATAAGAAGTCCATCTACACAATGATTGAAGCGCCTCGAGAAAATGTCCATTTATATATAATAATTTGCATTGTAGCAGCTATAATTTAGAGGTAAAAGTGTGTTTCATTATGTTAACCCCCTTAATACTCAAGGGGTCTTCGATTTGATTCATATTCCAATCAAAAACTTTATTTCATTAAAAGAATTCAATCATTTACCTTTCAATGA